TGACGTTTGTTAGCACGTCGTTACTCAACACCTTTGTTCCTCTTGTTAATTTTGATTTAATTTCCTTTAGCATCATTCTCCCACTTCCTGCCTGTGCTAACAGTTATTTGAAGAGTTTTAAATCATTTCACTCTGGTCTGATTGTAAACGATGTTTTATTTCATCACAGCTCAGGAGGAAACGCTCGTTTGTCAGGTTTATCATCGTCACATTAAATAAAATAAACATTTTCACAGATGAAGCAGTAAAGAGCAAATGAGTCTGAGCAGCAGTCAGATCACATCTGTCACTCCGTGTGTGTGTGTGTAAGAGAGAGAGCGAACTATAAATATCTGTCACTGTATCTGAGGAACTTGTTTTTTTAGTCATATCTGTCAGTTTTTTTATTATTTATTTACATCAGAAGTTTTTTTGGTTGTCGTTCTTTTCCGTGTTATTTTTGGGAGAAGTCATCACAGAGTTCACGTCTTTTCTCTCAGCGTGTCTCTGTGGAGAGTCAGCTTCTGTTTAAACTGCTGAATGAAACCCACTCGTCCCCGTTGTTAGCAGAGAATAAAATATGAGGTGATGGAATTAAAGGGAACGTCTTCAGGGTCTGGTTCTGTGCTTCATTATTTATCTCAACCATTTATATGAACATGACTGCCCACATCTTCAGCTCTGACTGAAAATATTTACTGTGTTTAATCATTTCACTGTTTTGTCTCTTTCCTCCGAGCAGACGACCTCCTCCTCCCGCCGTCATGACCTTTTCATCGTTGAAACTCTGAGGTTTTAATGAGAAAATGAAGTCGTCGGGACAGGAAGAGCTTGATGGTGAGGTCAGCAGCTTCATCTTTATTCATGACAAATTTGTTTGTTTTTTTTCCACAATGAGAGGTGAATTGATTGTCCTTGGGCTAAAGGTAACAGGTTGGACTCAGCTGTGGAGGAGCTGAAACCTGTCACAGGTTCTTTGTTGGTCTTTTCCCAGCAGCTGATGTCTGTTGTCAGGAGGTGATGAGCAACAAGAACCTGCTCAGGTAGAACAGAGACAGAGGAGCTCAAGACTGAGTCTCCACCAGACGAGGAACTGAGATGATACCTTTCTGAGACAGAACCTGAAATTCTTTTTTTATGTTTTTCCTAAAAATTGAAGTGACTTTTCTCCAACAACCTCCTCAGCACTTCCTGTGGCTTCATCTCTTCACAGTGTGTTTGAAAACATCATCAGTAAACTTTGGTAACGCGAAACTCTTCCAGACGAAACCTAGAAAAAAAAAATTGATTTTAGCTGATGATGAAATATGATTAGTTTAACCACTAGTGGTCAGTTCCTGTCATTAATTTTTACCACAGACGCTCACAGACCAACAGATGTAAAAAGTAATGAATTTTTTGACGGACTTTTCCTTCATCTTTTTCAGGCTGCATCACCAAAGTTCTACAGGTCATTAACATAGTAAACATTTCACTTGAACTTGTTTTTTCTGACTGTTCATTTTTCTTTGTTTTTGTTCAGAACTCTCCTGTACCAAAGTCCATTTGGAAAATGAACAATTTTCGTTCAAATGAATGAAGGAGCTGCTGATCCACTGCTGCCTCCTGTGGTCAGTTTGCATCGCTGAGGTAAGTTGAACTGAAGCTTTAACCACAGATGGTCACAGATGAAGACAAAATGTTTTAAGTCTGAGACAAAAAGCTGCAGATGCTTTGGTCCAAGGCTTGTTGATATAAAAGTGTTGTTTTCCTTATTGACTTCTGTATGGGATATTCAACCACATCGGTACCAGACAATGTCTGTGTTGACAAGGTATACTCTCCACCCTCCCATTCCAAGGTCCATTTAGAAAATGAGTGATTTTAGCTCACACAGACACACAAGCTGTTGGTCTGCTGCTGCTGCCTCCTGTGGTCAGTTTGTGTCACTGAAGTAACTCTGACTGAAAAAAGATTAATGGTAAAATAACAAAGAAACTTAAACCAACTGACAGAGGCAGCTGTGGATCAGCACCTGCTGTCGGCGGTGTTGTATAGTTGTAGATTATCTCTGTGGACTTTAGTGAAGAGAAGCTGACAAACTGTCTACCTTCACATTCCTCCTCAAACAACCACTTCACCTTAAGACTACAGGAGGACAACGATATGACAGGCAGCTGAGCAAAATCTCATTTTCAGTGTGAGTTTAAACTTATTTACGTTTGAGAGAATGTGAGCGTTGTCTCATGAAGAACTGTCCCTGAAGAGATGTGGTGAAGAAGAAGAAGACGAGGAGGAGGAGGAGGAGGAGAAACAGTCTCTTCTCTTCTTCCTGGATGGAAACACCTTTTCAAAGCTCAGGAGATCACTGAGCCGAGAGTCGATTGGCTGGAATTATCATCATCTCTCCATCAGCATGGATCAGAAATCCTGCCGTCATCTTGAGAACCTGCCGCAGTGAAGCTGCTGCTGCCCCTGCTGGGTCGACAGTCTAATTGCATCCTCATCTCTGCTCTGCTCTCTCAGCTTTAATGGCCCATCAGGAGACATCTCTGCAGGTTCTCTCTTCTCTCCACTCAGAACCTCAACCTCTCAACCTTCAATGTTGGAGGAGGTGGAGGTGCGATGCTCCTCGATGCTCCAGTAAACAACGTGGTTTCATCAAAAACTCACACACACTTAGCTCAGACTGACCCGTGAGCGCCCCCTGAGTTGATCCAGACAAATCCAAATCCTTATTTTTGGCCTGAAACATCATCCTGCTCTGGAAGGGTCACCATCAGACTACACTCATCTGCAGTGTTTACAGAAAAGGCTTGCAGTAACCGCCTTCTGCCGATAGATGAAGTCATGTTCCACAAATGAAACCTTTGCCTCTGAAGGAGTGATGCTGCGCTGAGTGATAGTTACGATCAAGAAACAAATACAGTATGAGGAAGAGGAGGGTGATGGTGATGAAGGTACATGTTATCAAACTACAGTATAAGTAGTAAATGTGATGGTGGAGATGATGATGATGTGAATGAATACTTTGATGAGGCAGATGATGAAGATGAGGAAGATGATAGAGATGATAGAGTTGATGGATGGTCAGTATTGATAAAAGCAGGTCAGTGATGTCACTGATGTTCTTTGTGTGTTGATTACGTATTGATCCATGTTGCTGCTGTTGTTGAAGAAGATGATGATGATGATGATAAGAAGGTGATGGATGATGATGAAGATGAACCATGTGCATTGATTGTTCAAAGGTGACCACGATGACCTTGAGCAATTATTCGTTCTGGTGGTTTTAAAGGACCATCACTCTCTCTCTCTCTCTCTCTCTCTCTCTCTCTCTCTCTCTCTCAGATCATAGGTTCGATCCCTGTTAGAACCTGTTTGTTTTTTTCTGAAGCTCATAGTTTTTGTCGTTGTATCAAAGTGAAAGTCTTTTGTGTCAGTGAAGCTCATTAATAAATATTTTAATGAAAATAATGGTCACTTCCACAGTCTTAACTTCGTTCCACTGCCTCCAGTTCTGACTTTTAATTAGTTTAACAGGACAAAAAATGACAAGAAAAATGAATTATAATTCATATTATTTTTTTATTGATTAACAATATTGATTAACATGATGTTTATCGAAACATCCTGGGCCACTGTACATGTAGAACAGGAGCTGGCTTTTAAATATCTCCAGTAGTCGGCGCTAGTAGGAGGTGACCGCGGGTCTTCGGTCAAACTTAACTAAACTTGACGGAACAATTAAAGGTAATTTCTGAATCTGTGACTGTCGCAAGAAATATCCTTTAATTGTAAAGTCAAGAGTAGAAGAAGTCACTCTTCTTCTTCTTGATGACGTCACGCCCAACAGGTGACAAACCTGTGACAGAAACAGTCATGGGATACAGTGCAGTGTAGTAGAAAGTACAATGTTGAGACCTGTATGCCATATCAGGTACAATAATACTATGTAATATATGATACGATGCAACATGTGACGATACATCACAATATCACGATAGATATCGTAGCTACATACAAACACACACTGAATCAAATATTATGATGATGCAGTATCATAACATATACCTGATGTAGTACAACACTGTATACTGTGTATACTGCCGTCAGACCATTAAATACACAATGGGATTAGATGGCATTACCGTATGACACGTGATACATACGGTACGGTACAGCGACACGATACGATAAGTAACACACACACACACACAGATTCGAGGAATGACGGCTTGTCTTTAGATATTAAGGAGTTTTTAAAGCTTCAGCTCCCACAGTGGGGGAGTCAGGGGTCAGCCCTCCTCTCTTCTCCTCTCTCCCCCTCTTCTTTTCCTCCTCCTCTTCCCCGTGCGCCAAAGCTCTCCAGACTGAGACAGAGCAGAGCCTCAGAGACAGAACCAGGAGAACATCGGCAGCTCTGGTCAGGTTCTTCTTCTTCACCAACAAAAATCAACCAACACCCAAACTGCTGCTCGTCTTCCTCCTCTTGCTCCACCGGCTCCTGCTCCTCCTCCTGGTTTTACGCACGGACTCCAAACATACGCACAGAGAAAGTCAGGAGGTCCAGAGGAGCAGCTTCACTTCCGAACATCGTGATGATGGAGATGTTTTAGGACCGAACCCAACTTCATCACCGGGTTTCTCTGCGCCCAGCCCCGCAGAACAAACACCCAACTCGGCGAGTCGCGCTCCATCCATCCATCCATCCATCCATCCATTCAACCAACCATCCAACCAACCATCACCTCCTCCGACTCCAACCCTCGCTCCTCTTTTCTCTGCTCCGGCTCCTGCCGCTGCAG